GCAATACATGTATTTATCTGAATTTGTTGAACTACTTCGGTAATGATCGAAATTTGTGACGGCATTTTAATTTTTTAAAATAAGGTGTATTAGCCTACACAAGCTTAAAGTGCATTTTTTTCTACATGTACTTTTCTGTGTTATTTTGATAAAAACTGCATATCAAATGAATTCTCTAAGAAAATTCATTTCATAAGATCGAAATCGAGATGTACATGTATATATAATAGTAAAATGTCAAAGTGGTACTCAGCAATTACTTGTTCTACGAGAATAAATAAAGAAGGAGCTATTCTACAACACGAAACTTTCCAATTCTATTGAGTTTTGATAAGTGATATATTTTTCGTCTAAAATAGTACTGTACAGAAACTTAATTTGTAAATTGTAATTTCATTTATGCTGTCATTTGATTCCGGGTATCTCAAAAAATGGTGTCTCTCTCTCTCTCTCTCTCTCGCTCGCTCTCTTCCAATTGCGCAGAAGAAATGTAGAGAATAAAATGTAATTTAATGATTTCAATAAGCTGATCCAATGTGTGACATAGTTTTTGTGACTTTGTCTGTCCGTCTCTGTGTGCGATTTCTTCACACAAGTGTGAAAATCTATTAAACAGGTAAAATGAATTTATCTGAACCATCTAAAAATTCTGTTCCTTGGTCCCTTTCAAATATATAACATCAAGCTTTCAAAATATGAAATTCTGTGACATCTTGAATCAGAATTCTGCCTCCACAAATTAAAAAAAACTCTATACATTCAAAAAGTTTCATTAAACTTAGTCGTTTAGGGTTTAAGATGTCAATTAGCATATTCATCAGTGTCGCAAGCAAATTGAATTTGCATCAATCATATAAAACTATATGACAAAAATAGAACTCTTTGGGTGGGGGAAACACTGTCATAAAATACACTTAAGAATGGGTAATTCCTGCTTAGAGGCGACCACAGAAGACGAGCAACATAAAAAAGAGATTAGATATGATTAATTTGCATACACATCAAGGAAGTGGGTCCAAAATAGTCCATCTAAAGTATTTTCAATCCCTACGAACTCTCTCTCTCTATCTCTCTCTCTCTCTCTCTCTCTGCAACTACTACAAATCCAAGGATGTACCAAGGTTTGAACGTAATATACTGTTAAACCATTCTTGTGCTCATGTGCTTGAGCTACTTTTTGTGAAGTATAATGGCAAAATTATTGATACTGATTTTTTTTATTATACATATATAATAGTTTTTATTCTACTTCTCAGTTCTAAGAGGAATTTTATGTATTTCCTTTCATAAATTTGTATGTCTACACCTCCCTCTAGTTAGACTTCACTGCAATCGATATTGTCATTAATACTTGATTGATAAAAACTAAAGCATGGATGCAAAATAGCAAGTCATTATAAAAAGGAAAAAGCATCATATTTCTATAGACCCACAGAGGGGTAAAAATTTAATAGGCAAAATATTGATATAAGATTTATCATTAAATGTCAAAACACACGACTCGCCTCATAAAGTATTCAAACAGTCATACAGTCATAAAACATATTCGTTTTCGCTTTGTCTACATTTTATTTTATTGAATGCACATCAAAATGTTCTCATGCCGGGTCTAGAGATATCAAATTCCCAATGCTGAAAATAGATAAAACTTTCAATTAAAATGACACAGATGAAATCCGGCTTATTGATGTTGTTTATGTTTGTGGAATATATGATGCTACCCACATTTAGAAAGCGATGAATTGGAAGAATTTTTATACCACCCCAAATCAAGAAATACATCAAGGACTTGAGGTTATGGATTGTGTAGATCACAAAGGTTTACTATTTACTAAGAACGACAATAAAATTTTATTTGATCACGACAACAAAGGCTTATTTTGAAGTCGATTTAATAATTATGAGGAATTTTATTATAATATTTTGTACCTTGACAGTCGCGTGCGATAGAGGGAAAGGTAAACTAGATATAGAGTTTTACATTGTACTATTATAACCCCTCTAAGAAGAAAAACGAAAAGATAGGTTTTGTAAAAAAAAAAAAATTCATAATAATCATTACTGTTACATGTACATCATTTAGGGTAAAATTGTTACTTACTGACTTTCTTTCTTTTAGCTCAAAGTTTAAATGTTCGTTGTTTAGCTGTTCGTCTGTCTTTTAAAAAAAAAAAACACTTTCGACTTCGTCTCTATAAAACCAATTTTTTCACCAATTTCTACAAAACTTGTCATAAACAATCCTTAGATGAAGGTTGAGGCCATCTGTCCTGTCCGCCACCCTGCAAGTGATACCAAATCGCCTCGACCTTAAGATGAAGCGGATTCAATTTTACTCAAATGAAGGGCCGAGTCTTTTTTTTAAGAGGAGTTAATAAAACGTTAAGGAAAATTAGTAGATTGTAGTTGTATGTTTTAAAATTTTATTCTTAGGAACCAATTGACAGGAAAAATTTTAAAGTAAACTAAAGTGAAACCTTCACAGTTTATTTAGTTTCAACCTTAACTATAACGCCTGTTAGAAGGGTGTAACAATGATTTTTGGGAAGGGGTTATAACGCCTTTTATAAAGGTATAATAACACCGTTTGGAAGGCGTTTTAAGGCCTTTGGAAAGGGAAAGGCGTAGTTACGCCTATTGAAAAGGCGTAATAGTCCTTTTAGAAAGGCGTAATAATGCCCTTTGAAAAGGCGTAATAACGCTTTTTTCACGTTATTACGCTTTTTTCGCGTTATTACGCCTAGGGGAGATCCAAGTTTATTCAAATAAGTGACGTAGTATCGTTTGAAAAGGGGGGGGGGATTCTTTGACGAGCAAAAAAGAAGAAAAGTATCTTAAAACACGGAAACACTTCGTTGTTGTTGTAAGAGGTGTGTGTGGGGGGGGGGGGGGGGTCAGCGCTAACTTTCTCTCACAACACTAAACTTTTTAATGAACAACAAGAAGTCGCAACCAGCCTTTTATTGAACATTTCAATAGTAAATAATTATGTTAGGAAAAGTGGGGGCAGGTGCCCTATACACTACGTGCCTGCAAACCATGTCTCTATCCCTTCCCTCCGGGGTAAGAAATCACTAATATTATTTTTTCTTGCTTTTTTCCAGGTGAGTGATATGACCTTTAAACCTATGATTTCAAATTAAAATCAGTACATGACTATACATACAGGATACGCTATAATTATTGATTTCCATTTCAATGAGAGTATACTAGCCATTGATAATTAATTCATTTTTTTCAGAAAAGTACACATCCATAATTTATATCAATGGGACAAGAAGATTTCTTATTGTGATGTTATCTATCAGTGATCTCTCTTAGTTAGGTGGGTGAAGGATTATAATTCCCTAGCAGAGGATGACAGTGCTGTTTTAATATTTTTAAATGCTGGCCTAGGCAGGATTTTTCTTTAACACTTGTTTTAAACTGATTTTCGTGTCCTACCCCCGTAATCGAAGATGCGGGTGTACGAGGGCTGTTCAATAAATAATGTCCTCGGTGCTCGGAAAGAAGCAAACGACGCTTTTCAATGATTTAGTCTTCATGATTTTACTTAGAAATCTCTTTTAATTCAAACACATCTCTGTAACATTTATTATCCAATTTCTGATTGGTTTTAGAACTCATTTTTGGGTATGACCCTTAGTATACTGGAAAATGGCAGATCCAATGATTTTTCCTTTTGAAAGGTGTTTTTTTCAAGTTTGGAAATAGAAACAAGTCAAAAGGTCAAAGATCTTGCAAATATTGTTAATGTAAAAAAAAACATTAACTTTCTGTTGATCCCGAAAACCCCTTTACTCTTCAGGGCATGCGGGTTTGGAGGCTGTCATGAAGAAATTCAATGTAGTGGATTCCTGATTCTGGGTCCTTGCTCTAATAAACCTTTCGATCTTTTTGCAAAAAAATTGCTTTCTAGACTCCAACAGATATTAAACTGTCTCCCCGAATACAAATTTGAACAACAATACTACTAATATTTAAGAAAATTGCATATAAATCTGTCTTTGTGCTCTTGCTTACCTTTGCTTTTGTCAGACCTTCGCAGTTTTTAACAAGTACATCTTATGGTAAATTTTGTTTTGATAATTTTAAGCAACAGATTCATGTTCCAATATCTGTTGAAATATAAAACAAACTTGGATAACTACAATTGCTGATATTTTAAAATACTAGTAATTGTTAAGACTTTCGTACACGCTGTCGTATTCACTCATTTTTCAAAATATAGAGTGACCTTTGAGTACCAAGCTTTTTTACTGTCAAACGTTTCTTTAAAAAGTGTAAATTACTACCTATATGATGTCTATCAAATTTGCTATGTGTCTTAAAGTCAATCTTACATCATCAAATATTATTTGTTGACATTTGGCAAACAGTACATAAGTTGCTAATGTTTGTTGGCAAGGAGGGTACCCATTTTTGATGCCCATTATATAATTTTTTATCATTGAAATCCAACTGCTCATTTGTCTATAAAACAGGCATCGGTTGCCGTAAATGACACATATTTCAGTGAATATTTCTTTGGGATTTTAACAAGTTTTACAGCAGCTTTAATGTAGCCTTTATTTTCACTCTAGTTTACTGATTCTTTACCATTCATTTATAATGCAGTGTCTCGAATAGCCCTTGTTTCCCAGCTTCTCATGATGAAACTATGTGATGAAAAGTGGTCACATAAACTGTTATAAATTCAGTAAAGATTCAATAATGAGAGAAAGTCAAGTTTAATGTCATATGATATCTGTATTGTATGTCATACAGTTCATGACATTATTTATTGAACAGCCCTCATATATTATTATAAATTTATTATATCACATTGACATTGTTTGTAGGTAAAATTTTGGTGGTTTTTATTCATTGGAATGTGTTGTACATGTAATTAGTTTCACCAATTTAAAAAAAGTTCAAACAATAAAAGTTATACACCTGATGTATTTGTCTCACAGACAAAATATGTTTGTCTTGTACTCGTAAGTAACAATCTAGTCGTATAAGAATCTTTAAAAAGATTTATTTCCAGATAAAATGTTTCACCAGAATCAACCAACAATTGTTTGGTAGTTCATGTCATGTACTTTGAATGAGTATTGTTAGTGAATCATTTATTTAATCTTCCCTCTCGTATGTTCTTTAACATTTTCAGTCCCATTCTTTTCGCTATTCTGTAAAAAACAAACAACAAAGATTTACAAGATTACAATACATTGTACTCTGCTGTACTAGCATCCTGTCTCAAAATATAAAAAAAAAATAATTAAAAAAGGTCAACAATTCTAAACAGAATACATCTGTCAAGAATATAATGTGCAAATAATACAAAAAAATCTTGGTTTGACCTTTCTTTACCCAGATTTAAGTTTTGTGTAGGTAGGAAGATTTTTCTCCTTAAAGTAAGGTTTCCTCAGAAAATAACTTGTGTTGAACAAGAGACGTTTGTAAAACACTTATGCCCCCCTCCCCCAAATTATTGGAATTTTCTAAGTCCAAGGGACATTACTCTGTCCAAAATGCTTTGATCATACCCAAAACAGAACTTGACTTAGATGTTCTTATGATAAATCTGTATACCAAATTTCATTCATTTCAGTATGTGCAACCTCTGCATGAAAATGAATGGAAACTGCAAATAATTGGAATTTTTCTAAGTCCAAGGGGCTTAACTCTGTCCAAAATGGCCCGAATGTACAAATAAAATTTGTTTGTCCCGAATGTTTTTTGTTGTTGTTTTTTATTAATATAAATTGTGATATTTTGCTAGAGAGAGAGCGGTGGGGGAGAGAAAGAGAGAGACAATGTCACTCACACTCTAGATAAATTAGGGAAGTACTGGAATCCATAGGTAAACAACAAGACAGGATTGAGGGCTATCCAGGCTTCAGACAGACGGTTAGCGATGGCAATGGAACATAACTCTGCACAGCGAGCAGTGGACATTCTCTTATCAGAAGAACTCATTTTTTCTTTTAATTCCTACAAAGAACAAAAAATATTTTTAAAACTTGCCTTTTAGAAAGTCCTTGGGACATGAATGTTTAGTTCCATATTACCAAAATTCTTTATATCCATATAAGAAAATGTTATAATGTGGGGGATGGTGAACAGACACAACCTCCTTATAACTGAGATTTCTTACTATCTGAGGTCATTATAAGCAATTTTTACTGTACATTCATTTTAAAGACAAATCTGTATGCTCTGTATGATAATTAACACTGTCTGTTATATCAGTGTTTTTTTCTGAATCTTTTGTTTACTCTACATTTTTCTTTCTCTTTTTCTTCACTCTATATTTTGAGATATTTGTTGTTCACCTCTCCCGGTTTCCCTGTAAATGCTGTGTCCAGTAGATTAGAGAACACAGGACCGGGACAGAGAAGAGTGACCGCTATGTTCTGGTCAAACGTCTCCACGGCCAGAGTAGAAAACCAGCCCTACAACAAAGACAATACTCTCTATAACATGCTTAATTTGTGCTTTACATCTATCATAAAAATGTACTCTCACTCATTTTTGATAAAAATTTTGGTAATGGATACCAGTAACATTACATGTATTTAAATGTGCGGCTGCCTCATGGCATTGGCTCAAATAATTAAAGATTCAAATTCAGAAACAAATGATTTTGTCTATATTGTCGTTTTTTCCATAATGTTTAATAGAATATTTTTTCCTATTATAAAAAAAACTGAAATAAGTGCATGTAACTTAAGAGTCAATTGCTTTATTTATCAATCTTTCCGAATTTAATGCAAAAATAATTTACCAAATTCATTTTTTTTAAAAAAGTTATTTTTTGTCTTGTACTCTCTCTTTTTATGTACTAGGATTTTTTTTTTGTTTGAGCACAAATTTCTTGTACATAGCTATGATAGGTACCTGAATTGCATGTTTACTTCCTGTGTAAGATGCAGAATTTGGAGCACCTGAAACAAAGAAATACAACTTTTTTTTTTTACAATATCTTTAAAAATTAGCATGAAATCCAATGGCATGAAAATGGGTTTTCTACTTTTAATTCTGAAAATTGCTGTTCCAGTTTCAGCAGAAAAAAACATGCATAAGATGAAGATCAAATGAGTCAAGCATGTTGTCAATGAATGCTTTAATCAGTGACAGAAGTCAATTTTAACCCCCCCTTCCCTCTTTAAATAATTATGTTACACTGAAAAAGTCAAAACGTACTAAGTTTTCCTGCAATACTGCTCATGACGACAATATGTCCCTCCTTCCTCTCCAACATATGTGGGAGCACCTGCTTTGTAAGGGAGAGAACTCCCAAAACATTCAGCTCTAAAACTTCCCGGTCAGTTTCTATGGATGTCTCCTCAAATAATGCGCGTTGTGAGCGGCCAGCATTGTTTACCAGAACATCAATCTGAAAAATATAAATAATTTATCAATTACCCAACCTAACACAAAACAATGGAAAAGAAGGCAATGTGTTTTTGTAGTAAAACAAAAAAACAAAAACACTTAAAGGCAATCCAGAATATGAATTCTTATTTTCTAACAGTCTTATTTTAGCTTTTAAAAAGTCTGTCTTAAAGCATGGCTAGTTACCTTACTGAAATGTTTTAACACATGTTGAGTAGCCTGTGAATGTGTCTCAAACTTAAGTACATCCAGAGGCAGCACCAGTATGTCCTCATCCTTGACTTTTCCATGCACTGGAAAAATAAAAACATATAACAACTGTATATGAAATTATTCAAAGTAAGATAAATACATAAGTATTCTGAAAAATGTTAATTTGTGTTTATAGTTGTAATAGGAAAGTACAAAAAGGCAGCAGAATAGACCAGGATTTGAACCTAGGCCCCTTGAATCATTAGTCCAGTGCTTTACCAACTGAGCTATCTGGCCACTGGCAATGGACTTGTCTGACCACTACATTCCTCCCACCTTAAAGATTCTAAACCCCTTAAGATACCAAAGGTAATAGGAAAAGAGGAAAAGGAAAAAAAAGTGATGGACAGGACTATGATTTAAATACTTGGGGTCCTTAAATCACTAGGCACGGGCTCTACCAACTGGGTTATCTGACTACAGCTGGCAGTTGAATGTGTCTGACTGTCTGTATCCATAAGCAAACATGTATACAGATTAATTTTCAAATTTTACTGTCAATTTGTTAATCAAAATTTGCAGACTTTCTTTAATATTTAAGGATAATACTCAATTTCTATTAACTCCATCTTCTTTCCATTATCCTTAGGATATAAACATATGTTTAATCATATGTGTATCAAATACACTAAGTTATCTCTTAAGACTTACACAGACATTCCTTCTTGACTCGTACGAGCTCCTTTTCTCTGCGAGCTGACAGGCAGAGCTTACAACCAGCTTTAGCTAGCTCATATGCCAAACATTCACCAATGCCACTGGAAGCACCAGTTATCCATACAACTTTGTCCTTCAGTACATCTGAAACATGTATGAAAATGTCTTACATGAAAAACCATGAGGAAAAATGCATCATTGCAGAGAGTCAAAATACTAGGAGAGGGAATCCCAATCATGGTCATTCTGCCAGATGTGTATATATACTGGTATGTGTGCTCTTACAGGTGAGGTAGAGAAAATTTAAGCTGACCATCCTATGACAATCAATCAATTCAGTCTCAAGACCACTAAATACATGTATATGGATAGAATATATTTCTAGTTTGGGCTTTACTCAGAGCAAGAAAATACCAAAAATTAAAATATACTCTACATTCATATGATTGTGGTAAACTTACTTGGTTTCTTTCCAAAATTTTCGGCAAATTGTAAGTAAAGGTCACAGTCACCGATCAAAATCAGGACAAAAAGCACAGAATATATAGCCACAACTCCAAGGAAGAAGTAGAACAGGTAATCAAGCATGTTTCCCTCTTTTTAATATCACCTGAAATAATAATTACACTGGTCATATACTGTAAATCATTTTTTATAACATCATAATTTTTTATTCACTTTCTAAAAAATGTATAGTAATTGTCTACATCAATTTTTTTCGGAAGTGAATGGTAATTGTCATACATGTACTTTGTCATTTGTAGGGCTGGGACGATACAACTTTTTCTATATCGATACATATCACGATATTTGAGCCACGATACGATATGTATCACAATATGTTTAATTGCATATAAAATCTGTTTTTGCATTGAAATAAACAAATTATTTCTTTGCAGATAAGAATAATTTATTCAAAATAGTTGTTTATAGGTTGTAAAACAAAAATATTTTACTCAAGTGGTGTTATAATTATTATTTATTTCATACCTATTTTTATATTTATCTTATTTACTTTACATACTAAACCCCAAATGTTAAATAAACAAAGAAAAACAGAAGTAAGATTTTTTTGGGCGATATTTCGATATTTCTTCAAATGTATCGATATGTGTATCATCCTAACAGATATCTCGATATATCGTCCCAGCCCTAGTCATTTGGTGTTAAAACCTTTAGGATTTCAGGCTAACATATGTATATTAAACTTCAGTACAGTTATACCCGCTAAATGTGAGGGTGGACATGGTGTGTTTGTTGGTATAACTCGTGTTTAAGTTCATAAGAAATTTCCTTGAATTTGGAAATAACTAGAGGTACGTGAGCAATGGGCTCACTAAATGATACCCCCTGCCTCCCATATGAATATAATAGCAGTGTCTATGGTTTGCTATGAGAAACCAAAATATGTGTCGGATTAAAAAGTAAAAAAGGAAGTGCACAATGGCAATTTGTAATAAAGATTCTGTGAAAGTTTCATCAAATTTCATTCAGTGGTATGAGAGGAGTTGCGGATAAGAGATGGGTACCCCAAAGCATAACAGACGAATGGATGGACGGACATACTGATTACTATATACCCTCACACTTTTCAAGTGAGGGGTATAACTATATATTCCAATTTTCTGCAACATAACACTTCCATTGATATTTTTTTCAATACATCCTCACAATGTCAGGGGTCCTGAGTGAACACACTGCCGTCCAACATGTTGATCGACTCAGGACCCCAGATGTAAATGTGAGGATGTTCATACTGGCCGGAATATCTAGATCTCTCCCTGTTACCCCCCCTTTTCTTTCATCATTTTTTCCTCACCTAAATAAAACACCTTGAATTGTTATTTATTGCTCATCCCATTGAAATAAAAATGTCCAGAACATGCAAATAACCTCTTAGATACTATATTATTAGCATATAACTGAATGAGATGAAAGATTAATTCAATTTTAACATATATATAGGCCCATGGGTTACACTTCTTAACGATATGGTAATGTTTTTGAACCTCTTCTTTAGATTTAAAGGTATCTGTTGAAAAGAATGATTATTGTATGAAAATCACATGATCACAAGGCTTAGGTCAGGAAGGACCAACGTGTATACATGTATGCACCAATTTAAAATTTAAAAATAAATGTAATGCAATAGAAACAACACTGATGCAATATCTATTGTAAGAACATCATATTTTCTTTTTGAAAAAGAACGCTTTAACAAGTTTGACACTGACCAAAAAACAAACAAACAAACCGAAAGTAGGCAGAATGGCCACAGGAGCAGGGCAAAGTTAGGAAAATGAAATATAGCGATTTCTGTGGCAACAAATAATAGAATTCTCTAATTTTGATTTTGCAAAAATGTGTCATAAATCCTCAATCAATACTATAATAAGTGTCTTAAAAGAAAAATCATTGTGATACACGAAGAAAAAAAACAAGCATTAAGCGGCATTTTTAATGTTTGTTTACAAGATCCTCCTTTACCCAATTCCAAGGTTTCGTCACGAGACGTCAGCAAACATATCCCTGACAAGCACACGGATAAAATATACCATAACTTTTCATTCAAGAAGATTAGGAAGCATCTAAGTGAAGGAAAACGAAAGGGTTTGTATATATCTTTCTCCTATAACACAGTCACTCAATAATATCTATGTTTTGAAGCCATGTAAACACAGATATGGTTACAATCAGGCACTATACATGTGAATGTGTCATACGTGTCGTAAATAAGCTAGTCTATAATAAGATTCAGGAAATATTGTCAGCCGTCTTCTTAATGTAATAAATCTCTATATGAGAAGAGATGGCAGTTCTACGTCCTTGTGTATAGATTGGAACAAAATCTCTTAATTGTTACAGAAAAGAAACAGTTAATTGTCCAATCAAACATGCAAATTGAGAGCTCTGAAATCCTCAGAGCTGGGATCAGGTGCCTTGAAGCATTAAGCTTCCCATCAATAGGCTAAGCCCTCTCTTATCCCCTTGTTATGAACAGACAATTAGGCCTAAGTGTGTAACAGCTAGGAAAAGTAAATTAAACTGCTGGACTGGGAATACAGTAGAACCTGGGACCCTTGCATCACTAGACAGGTGCTCTACCTACTGAGCTACCCAGGCAAATGTCCAAAACCTTAACCTTTTCATTCCCCCCTCCTTAAATTTTACTTGTTCTCAAAAACACAGGTTCATATTTCCAGGGGTAGTCAATGGCACTTAATCTGTTACATGAAAGGAGAAAGTATATGACTGGACCGGGAATTGAACCTCAAACCCCCGCATCACTCTAGACAGGTGCTCTACCTACTGAGCTACCAAACCAGTATCCATAGCATTGAGGACGACAACATATTTAATGAATGTCAGAGTTTAAACTTAACGCTCGCCCACTCGCAATTTGCGAGTAAAAATTGGTGTGGGCTCATAAAATTTTTAAGTTGCTCGCCCACGTGGCGAATAAAAATTCTGCAGGGGGCCGAATTCATTCCCAGACCCCTTACTGAAAAACAGACATTTTATGCAGGTTTTTGATTTAAACTACAGAAAAATGAAAAAAAATCACAGCAGTATGGTCCTATTGTTCGTAAATATCCTTCATCTTTTCAATTTAAAGTACTACACGATTTGTGAAATTCCCTAAAACGATCGTCTTTTTTTCCTAATCCGAATTTCCTCCAACCCTCTGTAAATGGTTGATACGTGAGAGATATACAATTTTAATAACTCTCAACTACTCAGTCATATGAATAGTAAGTGTTTTCACCTATTTCAGATACGTTGTAGTTAAAATATTTAACCTAGAAAATCTTATTGTGTCATTGTCAATTTATCAGTTGAAGACATGTACCAGGGCTACGTATTTATATACATGTATTACCAAGTAAAAAAAAAGATAGTAAAAATGTTTATTGAATACAATTTTATTTCCTTTGATTAAATATTTATATGACATCTGATTTTTAAAAAGTAAGAACTCCAATTTTAAACAAATGAATTTATATATGTATTTCATTTGTATCTACTTTTTGTCCCAGTATCTATGCTTTTTAAAAAAATCACAGAGACTGTGGGCTAACAAATTTAGCAGTGGGCTCCTAAATTTTAAAAGTCAGGAGCCCACATGGCTCGTGGAAATTTCAGTTAAGTTTAAACCCTGAATGTTTCACTT